TCGCCACAAACTCAAGCCCCTTAATTGCAAACAAACTTTTATATAGCCCACTCGAAGCACGGCCCGGCCCAAAACCCCAAGCCCATCACTTCTCCGTATAAAATGATCTCCTCTCCGTCGTCCTCTAGGGTTTTGCTGTCGTCTCTCTCCCTTCGCCGCTCCCTCCGTCTCTGCACAGCTTCAGGCAGCGACCAGCAAGGAAGGAGCAACAATGGTGGCCTCGAAGAAGACCGTAATCTCTCTCTCTCCCCGAACCATTCCTCGTCGTGTTCGCCCTTCGTTCTTCTCGTTTTCTTTTAGACGTATGACGAAGTTTTGATGGAATCGACGTTTTTGCCCATTTTCGCCTTGCAGAAGAAGACGCATGAGAGCATCAACAACAGGCTCGCGCTCGTCATGAAGAGCGGGAAGTACACCCTGGGGTACAAGACGGTCCTCAAGACCCTGAGGAACTCCAAAGGTGCGTTCTCTTTTGCCCGATTTTCTCTCGTCGCTAGTTGTTCTGTCAGTAGCATTGCGGTAGAGAAGCGATATGGTTCGATCTCGGCTTAGATGTGAACTGGGACGGGCTAATGCTCCCGCTTTAGCGTCATCGAACTTGTTTGATATCGAATTGATTCAATTCTTGCTGTCGAATTTTTACCAGGTAAGCTGGTCATCATTGCGAACAACTGCCCTCCTCTTCGCAAGTCCGAGATCGAGTATTACGCGATGTTGGCGAAGGTTGGAGTTCACCACTACAATGGGAGTAAGTTCGTCGACCCCGGAGGATCTGCTGTTTGTTGGATGATCTCTGCTGTTCACTTTTTCTCCGATTGGATTGGCATGCTAGCTTAAGTTAGCCTGTACCTGGGCCTGTGTGAGAAAGCTTATTGGAATGTAGATTGGTCTGCCATTTTGTTCCCCTTATCAAGTATTGGAATGTTCTAAGCTGTTTCCTTTTCTCCCTTTTGGGGATTACGTCCAGTCAAACAAGATCAAGCTAGTCTTTGGGCTTTAATCATTTGGTTTGATGCTATAGCTGCCTTATTGCATGTTTAGATGCATATATTTCCATTTGATCATTAATCATGCAATCAATTCCATTTGTTCTTCTAGTCGAATCCATATTAACGGCTGAGCAATTTCCCTGTTAATGGATTTTGGCAACTTTGGTTGGGGCAAAACAATATATTTCTTTATGCTAGACATAGCGACTTCTCCTAGAAATAGCATTCTTGGAAGAAAACCACTAGACCTGATGCTGTCGATCATATTTAGGATTTTGAGATGATGAACTTACATAAGTTGGTTAAGGTAAACAGAAAGTGTTCTTTACATTTAGATTTGTTGGTGGGGCATTTATTGAGCTGGGAATTATGATTGATTCGTGAATTGAAGGCTATCATTTGAACTCAGTTTTTCTTAGAAACCATGAAAGGATTCAAAATTGAAAACTGTCTCCATTTTCATGTACCAGACAATGTAGACTTGGGCACAGCTTGTGGAAAATATTTCAGGGTATGCTGCCTCAGCATCATTGACCCAGGTATGGAGATGGGCTGCCACTGTTCTCTAGTTAACTTTTTGATGCTAATGGTTCGACAGCGCCTACTTGCACTTCTACTAAAAACTTATGTATGTCTTAATATCTATTGTTTTCAGGCGATTCGGATATCATTAAGAGCATGCCTGGTGACTCTTAGGCAGTCGACATCCTGATGCCATGAGATTTTGGTCTAGCGTTCCTAGATTTATGGGTTTGGGCCGGGAAGGGGGTGCCTCGTGAAAAAAGCACTATGCTGTTGACAGGAAAAACCTTAATTATCAAGTGACTGAGATGCAGCTACTCTGTAACCCATTTTAGTTGTTTTATTTGGTATTGTTATCAGAATTCTTTTTTCCAATACTATAAAGAGTTGAACCTCGTGCTTGTGTTTCTAAATTGCTCTTCTTCTCATATAATCAAAGAGAGAACATCTGTCGGCAATGAATTTAAGCTAGAGTTGTCCTGAACAGACTTCTGATTCTCAACGAGTGAAAGATGTTGTAGATATGTGTGGAACTTTTGGTAAGGCCGGCAGGTTGTTTTGGTCTTCCATGCATCTACATCGCGGGAATGTCTTTAATGGCTGAATCTTCACCTTTCAATTTGCTGAGGCATCAATCAGACTTTGTTCAATCACTTCCACATTGGCAAAGCTGCCTGTCTAGTTCAAGCTTGACCTTGATAAACTGCCTCCGATGGGGGGAGTTTGTTCTTGCGCCTCTTTGCCTACATTTCTTCGTGTTTTCTTTTCAATATATTTTTTCGATTTTCTTGATATCTTATGCTTTTAGCCAAGAGGAAAATTGAAACCTCGGTACTAATCAGATGAAGAATAAGGTAAAATCTGCTCCTCGGTTGCTGCTTCTCTCTTTTCCGTAACACAAGCTCATTGTAGACTATGCGATTGCTGATGCTCTGCGAAGTTGCTGCTAGTTAATGTATGAGTTGTGCAATTGGATTGTAGATAGAATTCAATTGTTAATTGATCTCTTCTTATTTTGCAAAGGGGTAGGGGTCAACTGAGTGCTTTAACGTATTATGTAGACGATATTCGATAGTTTCATTTTTGCCAATATCGGTGCTTGCTGCTTGGGGCACGAGCTCTGCACGCGCGCATTTGAAATGTGATGATTACCGGGACAAGAAAATTGTTAAGTATAACATAACATGGGAAAGTTATATAGAAATAGGAAGTTCTAAGATATGCGTGCTGATTATGTAATTTTACGCTGTTCGGGATGATAGTTAAAGCTCCAAAAAGTGGGACAATTAGGGATAGTTACACAAATAATCTCTAAACTTTAGCTTAATATAAATTTTAGCCCAATATGCAATGTCGAGTCTGAGTTTTTAATTTGTTCAATGTGGTCCTTAAATTTTTAGTACGTGTTCAAGTTAGGACTATACGAAATATTTGATATTATCCTCATATAGTCTAGTATTATCATTATATTAATTCAAGTTCAAGGACAATATTGAATATTTTCGTTAGGGGTGAGCGGTTTCAGACTTCGTACAGGTTTCATGTGAAATCTACCCGTGGGATCAGGTTCCTCAAGGGTCTACCTAGGTTCCACTTATATTATTAATTGAACGATTGCAGTGAACTATCACCTTTAATGACTACCATTTGCTACTACAATCCACTGATCACAATTTATATTTAGACACACGAAAAATATGAAATATTAACAAAGTAAAAGTTTCGATCATAAAATGGAAACTCAGACTAGTGGTTCTAGATTATACATTCATTGTCAGACGCCATGGAAAACAGCAGGATTTCGCGAAGACATAAATCAAGAAAAACCCAAAAACTTATTTTTAGGTTCCAGGTTCTACCTACCTTAAACCCGGAACCTATCTGTCGAAACAAGTTCTTCAATTTTTGGAACATGAAACTTATCCTGCATACCGTAGAACCTGAAATTGTCAAGTTCCCATCTGTCCGGTTCCCAAGTTTTAGGTTCTACCCTGTAACCATGCTTACTCCTAATTTTCATATCATCTAGGGACTAGATTAAATATGCATCAAAACTTAAAAGACCAAACTGAACAAGTTAGAAGTTTAAGGACGACATTGCATATTGGACTAAAGTTCAGAGACTATACTGAACAAATTAAAAGTTCAAGAACTAAATTGCACATTAGGCCAAAGCTCAATAATTATTTGTGTCATTGTCCCTTCCGGTTGTATATTAGATCGAGCGCTGCTACATTTGTGAACGGCACGAACAACCACGTATATGCTAAAAAAATGGTAGTTATTTTTTAGCAAAGAAAATAAGCAAGATGGACTACGCGGAGTTAGGGGTGATCAGTTTCAGGGTGGGCGGTTCGTACCTCTGAAGTGGGAACCGCCTACTAAGGAATGGTTCCACAAAATAAGAACCGGGAACTGTTGAATGGTTCCATGAATACACCCGGGAACTGGATCGGGTGGGTCCATGAAATCAGTTATTTTGCTAATCTTTCTAAAGATGTCAGTTGAAGCTCGCGGATTGCCCAGTTCTACTATCTCGTGCCTCGCTCTATTGATACTTGGGTTGATTGAAGGACACGAATCCCGCACTAGAAGATCTCTCGTTGACTCTTTCGGGTTGATCCCTTACTCTGTCCGCCACGGAAACAAATCGAAAACTTTCTTGAATTCAGGTCCCCCAATAAAACGGAGACAAGCAATGGTAGGAAGCGCGACGATAAACCTGATAGCGCTAGCTCAGGGGGAAGCGATAGGGGAGGGACACGAACACGCGTCTAGAGAGAGAGAGAGAGAGAGAGAGAGATGGAGGGAGGAAACCATGATCAGGGAATGGGAGGGAGCGTGTGCACGCGTTTGAAAAGGAAAAAGAGTGAGTTTTACATAAAGAGTGAGAGACCATGATAGAGATAGAGAGTGAGCTGGTCAAAAACTATTTTGACGTGGGCGATCAGGGAGGGTGGTTCTAACTTGGACTCGGAAATTAAATTGATAATCATAGATTCCAATTATTAGAAGTGGATACTGAACTGGTCCTTATGGGAACCACTGATCTGGGCCGGTTCGATCCGGTTCTAGATGGTCCCGGCGATTATCGATTCTTTCACCCAACCCCAACCCTAGCCCTAACCCAAGCTGAGGCTTAAGTTGTGGATACGATTTAATAGTTTTTTTTTTTTCCTTCTTATATTATTAAATGCAATTTTGGAACGATATATAAAATGTATCAATCCAATGTTTTCACTTAACACGTAGAAAATATGATTTACGGGTTTTTTCTTGATTTTTTCCTCATAGGTAATGAAAATTACCAAACACGATTTTCACCACTTAAAAAGCAAATAATGAAAATTACCAAACACGATTTTCACCACTTAAAAAGCAAAAAAAAAAAAAAAAACAAAACTCCTTTCGCGTACCCAAAAACACCCCCATACAAGTCATTCCCGCCACAACCCCCCTCTTCGTCCTCGCCACCATCATCCAATCTCGAGAAAATCTCTCTCTCTCTCTCTCTCTCTCTCTCTCTCTCTCTCTCTTTGAATTCCAACCATCGTTAGGGTTCCGGCTTCTCGTCGATGCTCTGATCCCGGCAATTTTCGCTTCCCGAAGCCCTGAAGAAATCTCGACCCTAGGGTTTCATCCCCGATCCCTCGCCCGAGACAATGCCGGAGCTAACCGACGGGCACAAGGTCCTCGTCCAGGCCCTGATCTCGCGCGGCCCTCTCCGCGAGAAGGACTTCCACGCCGTCTTCCATGGCGTCACCGGCAAGAACGCAGGTAACTCCGGCTCCGGCGGCTCTGTGCCGCGTGTCTGTCTTCGTTCTCTGTCGAGCCCTTGGTCGGAGCGCCGTCAGGAACGGCGGGCGTGGCTGAAATTGGAATTTCGGAAGAGATGGATTGGAAGTTCTCCGATCGTCCTGATGATGCCTTTTTTTCTTTCTTTTTTTGTGCAGCGAATCACCAGCAGCTGTTCAACGATTATCTCCTGAAGATTAATAAGGAGCTCTCGCACGTTCAGTGCGAGCTGCGCGGATGCAGGGACCAAAACGACGGCCAGGTGTTCTATGGATTTGTCAATAACGTTGCCGACGATCAGTCGCAGCTCGGGACCAAATACTCAGTTCCGCAGATCGCTTTCTACAAGTGCATTGTACGTGTCCGCTCCCTTTCAGTTAGTTTTAACGATCCTGTATATTCCGGTTGGGATGTGCCCGCTCATTGTTTGGACAGACTAGTTTTCTTGTCCGTTTTAGTACCTTCTAATAGTCGTATATTTCTTTTCAACCTCATTGCTGACTTCAATTGTGTTTAAGGGAAAAATTGGAAAACGAGAGAGACGGTGTTCATCACCGAAAGCATAAAGCTGACAATCTGATTCAATTTTATAAATTATGAGCATCTTAGATGAGCTGGCAGCGGAAAAGAATTAACTTGCTGAGGATTATAGAACGGGGTGATTACTGATTAGTAGCGGATGAATGGGGTGTTTACTCGGAGAAATGGTGAGATAAGTTAGAGCCTGTGGTAAAATAGTGTAATCTTGTCTAGAAGATGGATATCCGTGTTTCTGTGGCATTGCCTGTCTAATCCAGGATGCCGTTTGAACATGTCTTTATTATGATTCAAATTGCTGCCCACTTCTATCAAAGGGAAACATAATGTTGTTTACTTTTCTTATGCTAACGTGACGTGATTCTTATGTTCAATGATGTTCGGCTTTTTTCTGGTAATCACTGTTTTCAGATAGAAGCAATAGTGCAAGACACAACTGCTCAAGGCTGCATATCAGATATTGATGCTCTAAATATACGGCTGGAAAATCAGGTTGAAGTTTCTGCCTCTGCATACATACTGACTAATATGAATTGTTGTGCCGCCATTGTTAAGAGAAGAGTATGTCATGCATTCTTATGACAGTTTTTTGCATGGTTTTGCAAAATAATAATTTTCGATAATTTCGTCACAACTTTTGCATTGATAAACTGGTCAAGATATAATTTATGGATTGCCAATGAAGTTCTGGTGAGAAAAGTAAAGCTCGGTTTCAGTCCTGCTTTATGTTTGATACATGTTTATTTCACTCTCAACCATTAAAGAGCATAGATACGAGTGAATAGCGAAACTATCCAAGTTCTCAATGAATTTTTGCATATCCAAGATTTGATAATTTTTGAAACTTCTGGATAGTCTCATCATTTCATGCTGAGGGCCTCTGTTTTATCTGCAGATGCTGAATGGAGCTGTGTCGCAGTCCCAGGACAATTCTCTTAGTGTCCCTGCTGCATTTAGGAATTTTTCTATATCCCAGAAAGAAAAAACCGTTGAGCAACTTGTGCGGGACAAGTGGCTTTGTTTGTACCCAGATGGTAAGATAGGACTTGGCGTTCGATCTTTCCTTGACCTCAGAAGTTGGTTCCGCAGTAATGGTATCCCTTCATGTGAAGTATGTAACGAAGCTGCTGTCAAGGTTTCCTCCTTCTCTTTCTTGATGATGTTGGTCAACAATGCTTATATGTTTCGTGTTTGTTTTGACATGTCCAGATCTTCTGTATTAATGTGATTGGCAACTTTGTTGCTTTGGGGAAAGCAGTGACTCGCCAATGAGTTCTTTTGCCGTCATCACCTATTGCAGTTTGTGTTGGAACATGCATGGAAAGTTTATGTTTACATATGGTGCATTGAACTGTGAAATGCGAACCTGTGAAGTGCCAAGCACTTTGAAGTTCCATAGCAGTACACTAGGTTAACAATAATAACCATTGGCATTATTTTACTGAACTATCCGACTCATCACAGACATGGGAGTTCGGGCCACATGCACATCAAGTATTTATGCTTCTACTGAAAACAAAAGACATTGCAACACATTACTAAAGGATCTGATTTCTATCTCTGTCTGACAGGCGGAATTGTGCCCTAATGATGATTGTAACGTTCGAATCCATCAATATTGCCTGAATAAGCGATTTTCCCAGAAGAAGGTATGTCTTGATGGGTTCCTCGTCATACCACTATATGGTTCAGATAATTTTCAGTGCTGAATTAAATCATATCTTGCAGGTTGAGCGAGTTTGTCCTAGTTGTGGTCGACAGTGGAGATGGGTACTGCCCAAAGCAGAAGAAATAGAGGAAGAGGATGCACAAGATGTGCAAATCCAAAGCCAACCAGTCCCGCGTCCAAAGAGAATGAAGCTTCGAAGCAGGGCAGCTACAAATGCTGACACTCTATTACCAGCTTCAAGTCAAGGTGCCCCTCATAGTTCTGAATTTAGAAGGACAACTCGAAGCTCTGCCCGCCTGAGATGATGATGTTATCCGTTTATAGCGAATCATTCCCTTTGTAGAGCGGCAGAAGGGCTAGCATACTGTAATTAGCTTTGAGATTTCTGGTGCTAGATTTTCCTAGTTTATGTGGTGCTTTTTGGATGCCGCGCATTTTTGCTTGGTTGCCCTTCCGGTTGGTGCAAACTTCGGTATTTATGCTGCAACAAGTAGCTAGTCAGGACTGTGATCGAGTTATATCATTTCATTCAATTGGGCAAAATGCAGTGCGCATTATCATCTTTTTCTTTTTGCATGTCCGGAGTAAGCTCGGGTCCATCACAGACACAAGAAACTCTTGGATTTTATCTTCAGTCCCAGGTGTAGACGATGAAATTTGCGAGGAAGCCCGTGGGATGAGTGCATGTCAATTTATGCCCTGCTGTGTCTCAATGCCTCCTGTTCTGGATAGGTCCTCAGGTGTTTCGAGAATAAGCACATCGTATCTCTTTGGGAACCCCAAGCTGACGAATAATTGATACGATGAAAGGCACTCGTCATCCATGACCTTGCTTTAATAATGTCACTAGAGGCTTCCAGTAGGAAGCCAAGCATTATTCTATTCGCAAGATGCGGAATAAAGTGACGCTGAGGATGAGAAACATCTTCCCGGCTGGTGTGATGATGGTTGAAAGACTGCTCCGTCACTGAGATATCTACGGCTCGAAATTGCTCCTGCGAATCGGACTTGTGAATCGGATGCTCTCGATGCAGAGTCTTATGTGTAACACCTATTTCGTAGGCTTTGCCTCCACGAGCAAAAGTTACCATCCGAATTGGACAAAACTCTCAGTGACAACGCCGGCTGTTTTCGAAAGAATATGTGTTTTTGACACCTCATAACTTCGCTTTTTACATTGTATAGTTTCCCTAGTCTCGCGAACTTATGCCCGAGACCGTACCATTTAGCCCTTGCGAATTTTTCGGCGCTAATTGCAGTGTCAGAAACTGTTTTTCTCTAAATTCGATTTATTTAGGGTAGAGATTCGGCCTTGTTAGGTATAAATAATTCCATATTTTCCCGTACGATTTTCGCCCTAAAACTTGGCGGCTAAGCAATGGAAGGCAAGGCGCACTCTTTCCAGGGACACGCGAATCCGCGAGTCTACACACTAACTGCTGCTAGGGAAAACAGAGTGGTGGTAATAAACAGGGGGGTGGAGGACTTTTTGGCCAACTTTTTTTTCCAGATAGGCGCACTCACTTGCATGGAAACTCCCTCCGATAACGACACTTCGTGTGTTTCTTCAACACAACTCCCCTTCTCCTCCTTCTTCCCTTCCTTCTCTTTTTCTTCGTCAACCCCGAACACGTCTCTCTCTCTCTCTCTCTCTGTTCGCGAGCTGATCAAAGCCAACGCTCCACCGCGCGCCTTCTTCTCCTCCTCCTCCTCCGGTGCGTCCGTCGCCGGTCGACGACTTGCAGGTGACGTTTAAGCTTCTGTTTCGATCGACCCTTCTGCTTCCACCTACGCGCGTGCTGTGATCGTATGCTTTCGTGCGGTTTCCTGTATTATCACGGCTGTTGCTGTTGCTTGTTGCTTGTTGTTGTTGTGATTGTTTGGAGCGCGCGTCTCTGTTTGCCCGAACCGCGTTGTTCTGTTTCCATCTTCTCGGCTCGGTCTCATGCGCTTTTCCGGATTGATCGTCCTCGTCCGTAGGATCGGGGGCTCTTCGATTGGTGTTGTGAATTTCGCTAGGTTCTTACTGAATACCCGGCAGCTTCCTTGTGCTCCAGCTAGTCTCTTGTGCTCTGATAAGTCGCAGAGTTCCTTTCTTTTTTTCTTTCCCTTCTTTGGGAAGAGCTCGGAGTTTTGAATTCGATCCCACCTTGGCTCCGGATGCTTCTGGAATCCTCTCGGCTTGTTTTCCGATACTGTCGGACTTTTCGTTCCCGGGTCAATTTGATTTGATGGAGTGTCCCCTGTTTAGAGTTCGAGGAAACGCGAGAAATGGGAATCGTCGAAAACTAATTTCGGCGTCTTTCACTTGGTTTTTGATGATGACGGGTTGACCTCGTTTCTGTTCGAGCATAACGGCTTGAACTGATCGCTACAATTTCTAAGTGGCAAAGTAAACACGTGAAGGTGAGGACGTTGGTTCGGAGGAAACAAAGATTATCAGCTTTGAAAACCATTTCTTTTGGTTTCCTCCCTGTTAGAAGAACTTCGTAACTGTTGGATATTGCTTATCAGCAAATTCTCTCTCTTCAGATTTTCTTTTTCATTGCTTGTAGTGCCAGCATGTATGTATGGAGGTAAATATATCTTGAAATCAGACATGAAAGCCGAGCATTGATTGCTTTCTTTGTGTGTTTGTTCTTGATTTCTTCTGTTTATATTGTATTGCGATTTTCAGAGAACCTATGTTCCCCTGCTGCCTGGTCCTACTCGTTGAAGAGCTCATGGACTAAACATGTAATTTTGTGCAATCTCGATCGATTTCGATGTTCTTTCTGTCCGTTACCATTTTGGAGAAGCAAATAAGCGGAACCTCGTCTTTTACAATGCCGATTCTTTGTGATGATCTGCTGTTCTGTTAGCTAATCATATCTGGAGATATGTGTATATGTCAGTGAAAAGGTTTATCTGGGACCACTATTAAACAATCTAAGATCTTGAGTTGCCAGTTGGCTGCTATATGAAATTGTATCGAGAGAATCCATTCTCAAATCTCCATCCCTGTCAAATACTTCGACATATAAAACAAATATGCTTAGTCTAGTATTTTGGCCGAATGAGGAGTATAGCACCCTTTAACCACCACACTTTTATCTATTTTTATGACTGTACTTTTAGGTCAGTTGATGGTGTTCACAAGATCTAAAGTTGATGTTCCTTGTACTTTGGATTTATCTGATAAATTGGAACGAATAATTTCAGGGTTTCCGTATAATTCACTAGAAAGAAGCTGCAGAATGCCGTGGAAAATGGGACTTACCAGCTCTAAAGTGGAAGAAGATAAAGCCCTGCAGCTTTGTCGGGAGAGGAAAAAGTTCGTTAGGCAAGCCGTTGATGGTTGGGGCTCCCTTGTGTATGCACATGTCACATATGTGCAGTCATTAAGGAACGTAGGGACAGCTCTCGCAAAGTTCTTTGAAACAGAAGCTCCAAAGGAGTCTCCCTTGTATACCTCAACTAGTGCAACACCCAGGCCACCTGCATTAACTGAGAAGTCCATTTTCGAATTTTCATTTTCGCCTCCCCCAGGGTCACACCGTTCCCATGGTAAGGGAGCTCTTTCTCCATCTGCATCGCCTGCTTCCTCTTCTACAAGAATTGAAGAAACGCTTGCTCCGCCTGCTACCCAGACGGTGACTTCATCTTGTACTCCAGAAAATGTTCCACATTCCTCAAAAAAACCAGAAACCTCACCATTGAAGAATCCTGCTGTCCCTCCTGGAACTCCGTTGTGGGATTACTTTGGTCACTCCCATCCAATCGACCATCAGTTTTCATTCCTTGAAGGGAAGGGAGTGAGGCAAGGATCTGAGAATTCTGATAATGTAAGAAAACTCATGGATGAAAAGGAAGTTTCTGAACCAGAATATGATGAGGAGAAGGATTCTTTTTCTAGCGCTGAAGGATCTCTGGATTCTGAAGATGAGTTCAGCGTGGGTTCCGTTGATACTCCAGTTGGCAGATCCGAGAATTCTAACAGGGTGAATGATGAGGGTAAGCCTAGTTTATCACCGACAAGAGCTTCGGGAATGAATTCCTTGAAAGAAGAAAAGGGCTACTCCCCTGATTTATCACCCTTGAGGAAGACATCTCCTGTGGCTGATCTGGAAGCTGAAGCAGAGGAAATATCTTTCGAAGAAGATTCTAGTGGAGCTAAGTTTCATCCAAAGGATTTCATTTCAAGCATCAAAGATATTGAATGTCTTTTCCTAAAAGCTTCAGAGTTCGGAAAAGAAGTTCCACGGATGCTAGAAGCTAACAAACTGAACATTCAACTAGCATACCCAAGGAAAGAGGAGAAAGGTCCTCTCTCTCTCTCACTCTCTCTGCCCGAATTTTTTGTATCAAAGATTGTGTCTTTATTGTCCATTGCCGCTTTCACATCTAGGTTTGAGAATGCATTTATTGCTACGAAGTGCTGGTACACCCTATTTGCTGGATATTTATTTAGCGTGACTGATTCATTAAGTATTCCGAAAGTTATGTATGAGAAGTTTGTGCAGTTTAGTTACAAGCTGATTGGTCTAAATTCCTTAAATCATAAAACTTCATTAAGCATTTGAAGAATTCTATGCTTGAGTTCTTGTTTAGCTTCTATGCATTATACTTTTGGATCAGTCCTTTCTACCATTGTTCATTCAATTTCCAAGGGTTTTAACCAGAGAAGTAACGTGGCAGGTGTACCAATTGTGCTAAAGTATCTTCGAGCTTGTTTCTCTTGTGGGGAAGACTATCAGCAAGTTCAAGGTGAGCCCCGGCATCTGTGTGACTGAGTTGCAGACTTGTGCATGTGATCAATTCGTTGTATCTTTGTTGATTCTGAAAAATGTGGCCATCTAGTTGATAACTTCATTGTGATCATAATGTTTCCTTCATGCTTGTTTTATAGTACTTTAGGATAACCTCATTCGGATTGTGTCTCTCACTTATATTGATTGTTGTGGCTTGTCCATCAAATCATCTGTTCAGAAACAACCGTCAAGAAAATTGCGTTACTCAACTTACATTGCTTGTGTTATACAAAAAGACACTTCTTTTTTTTAGAAACTTAAATATCCGTCCCTGTCAAAAGTGCGGAGGGCCACATATTTTTATCTTTCCTTTCCTTCTGTAATATCCAGATTCAGTTCCTATGTCTGGTAGATTAGCTTACAGTGCCTATATGTAACGGACACATTCTCAAATTCATGAAAAATGCTCAAATTTGGTACAACTACTATGAAAGGCAAAACTCTGTCTTCTGATGTTGTCTCTGTAAGTTCCCCAGACATTAGGGGTGAATCGAAATTTCTAGTGTTTTAAATGCTCGAAAGTTTTCTGAAGTGCTTAAAGTTGCTGTGGTTTTCCCTGTATGTGTTTTTCTAAGCTACACGAAAGATAAATAAGCACGCACTGCTGAAAATACTTGGGTTCAGTTCTGTCAAATCTTACATGAAACTCTCTGAAGTCTCATGCAGCATGTGTGCATGTGAATTATTTTTCTTCATGGCATCGTCTTGTATGTGAGGAGTAAGGAAATGCTTTAGCTTGCAAGAAAGAGCAGCAAGATTTTTCGTCAATAATATGTGTAAAACTGATGTGTTCATTGCTTTACTTTCACATCAAACTTCTTAGCTAATGTTTGCTTGTGTCATTTAGAGTCTGCTCAAACTGCGGTAAAGTATTTAACTTGGAACAGAACTGCTTCTCCTCGTTCCCTTTCTTCTTGGAATCCTCCGAGGCTGAATCCAAAGGATGAAATAGAGGAGCTCGGTGATAATCTCTCTGATTTTTGCATGATTTCGGGCAGTCATGCTTCTACACTGGATCGCCTATATGCATGGGAGAGAAAGCTTTATGATGAAGTCAAGGTATTGTTGAACTTTTACGGGATTAACTGGTGATTGTTTTGAAGTGCAATTGATGTAATACGACTATGACAGTAATCTGATGTGTTAGAGGCTAGTGGCACGAAAAGGCTTTAATTTATCATGTCGATGAAATGAAAAGAAGATGCACAACGTGCTATGATACACGTTGACCAATCCTCGAATTGTGAGCGAACATGTAAACTCTTTTTTTTTTCTGCCCAAATATGTCAGGCGAGCGGGATAATTAGGAGGAAGTATGACTTGATGTGCAAACTTCTAACAGAACTTGAATCAAAGGACGCACAAAGATCTAGAATTGATAAGACCCGTGCGGAAATCAAAGATTTGCACTCAAGAATCAGAGTTGCGATTCAGAGGATTGATTCGATTTCAAAGAGCATTGAGGAATTAAGGGACAAAGAGCTGCAACCACAACTCGAAGAGTTGATTGAAGGGTATAACTTGTCATCTCTGCCTACTTGCCATTTATGACTGCTGGTTTTTCTCTCGTCGCTTGGTTGCATGTCACAAAATTTTGGGGCGTGGATACATGTTTGCACAAGAACTTGGGAACACCGTCTCCCTTCAAAAAGATTGATCTCAAGCTGTCCACAACCCTCATTCCTGCTATTATTCTTTTTCCTCCCCACCAATGATTCAGATCTGAGTTTTCTGGTCATGAGACCGTGCATTCAGCTCGTACTGTTTGGGATCTATTTCTCAATATCTTTTCTGGACCTTATCTTGCAGGTTAAATAGGATGTGGGAATTAATGTTCGAGTGCCACAGACTTCAGTTTGCCATAATCTCAGTGGCATACAACAACTGCAACGCCAAGATTACCATACAGTGGCAGAAGACGGTCTATCTCCAAAATGAGCTGGGCTCTCTCTCTTCGAGTTTTATGAAGTGGATTGCTGCCCAGAAATTCTACGTGCATGCAATAAACAACTGGCTTTATAAATGCGTCTCAATTCATCAAAAGACTTCAAAACGAAAGAGAAGGGCACAACCCCCATCAATAAGGGACTTGGGCCCCCCAATATATGTAACATGCGGTGTCTGGTTGGAGATGCTTGATTCCTTGCATACCAAGGAAGTTACAGATTCCATCAGGGGTTTAGCAGCTGAGGTTTCTAGCTTTTTACCACGCGAAGAAAAAAGCCAGAAAAAGATTGGAAAATGGCTGCATCCATCATCCTCAAATGCTGACAATGCGTGCGACCCGGCTCTTGATAAACTATTGAGCAACGAAGCTCCGGAGGAATGGACTTCACACTTTGATCGTTTCCAATCAAGATTGATGGACGTTCTCTGTCAGTTGGATAATTATGCAGAGTCGTCCGTGAAAAAGTACGCAGAACTGGAGAAGGCCATCCGGGATGCAAAAGTCAACTATGAGCACTTGAAGTCCCAATGACAGGTTCAGGTTCAGGTACAGATTCTTTGTATATAGGTTCAGAAATTGTAAAATTTCATTCCGAAAATCTTTTAGACAGTTTAGGATAATGAGTAGGGTTTTACATTTACTAGAAGAGGAACCATATCAGAGATGAAGAAAACCATATATTAGTCTTCATTCTTTAGCTTTCTCGAGCATTTGTGATGATTTGGCACAAAGATGAATTTGGTCAATGTGCATGTTTTCCAAAGTGGGTGTACATATCAGTTCCAAGTTGCTTGTGGAAGTAGGTATGGATTATGTAGGGGTAGAGAGGTACACTAGCCAGTGAAGGAATGGTCGCTTATATAAGCGCATCTAGTTGCACTGTACTGGAACGGTTCTGTACAATATTGATCAATAATTAAGGGTTACAATGCGTCGGTGTTTGTTTTCTTCTGCATTATATATGTCATGTGTGCCTGTCAGTGTGTACATGCACACAGCTCTTGCGTCTTGAATCAGTTCTTCTTTGAGCAGTCTATATCTAGAGAAATCTATGGAGGCCGTTTCCTGAAACGGGCACGATCTCTTTCGGCTGGCCAAGAATGGCAGAATTTGCTTGGGATACTTGCATTTACCCCATTTTAAGAAATAGAGACTTTGAAAAATCTTGCACCCGTCATGGATTTCATATTCGAGTCTGTTTAAGATCGATCGATTCACAGCGCGAAAAAGGGTCTCACGCTGATCAATAGCTCTCTGTTTGGAAAAAGCAGGGCTTTCTTTTCAATCAGCTTTACGTAGCTCTCGAGGTCGTTCTCGCCTCGTCGCGTAGATTTGGGTAAGCAAGCATCACAGCCTAAAGAAAGTTTTCTTGTCCCTTCTTCTTCTTTGTTTCATTCACGGCATACGCAATCACCTGCAGCTGCTATTTTCCTTGGCAGTGTCGACATTGTGAAGCAGGCTGCTCTCACGAAAATTCGCCCTTTGAATCTATCAAAACAAAGAGCAGGTCGTTACTTCAAGGTCGCTTGGTGAGTTATGCAAGCAAGATTTTTCCTCGGTTTTAGTTCATTCCTACCTCAGTTGAATCATTCCCACTTTCCGAACTCGATGTCCAACTGATTCTGAAAGCTACTGCACATCGTCGTTTGCGACATAACAACTCCGTATGATGTCGGATGTTCTGTCTGAGTTGCTCCTAATCTAATCAAACCAGGTCAACTTAGAATTTCCCATCAATTGCACAGTTTGTCTCGGTCTAACACACACACGAGGGGGAAACAATTTGATGGTCTGATGTTTGGCTTAACCCTTCTCCTCTGGGGCGATCAAAGTCGCATGTCGGAACGTAAAAATCGTCCTATTTCCGTGTCCCAATCCCAACAATTCTTGTTGAATCACACAAGGATCGTCAAAGTGCCCGTGGGATCGCTTGCGGCGATATGATATGATGGTCGACTTTCAGTCGCATCGGCGCACGGAGAGACAGATGCTTTCCATTAGAAACCGTGCAGCAGCTTGCCATCTGCCGATCAACTTAACCTTATAGTTTCCTCCGGACACAACACAATGTCATTGCCCTAAGTTCAATGGCAACTTTTTTCAAAATAGAGGTGTGGGGTTTGGTATCAACACAATCAAAACCGTGTAAGTCCCTGAACTCGTCAATTAGATTAATTGTCTCGACAAGATTTAATTTCGTAACAAGGAAATCTTCCAACAAACAAATTTCCAAAATTACGACGCAATAGATGCTCCATTTTCAACGATTAGTCGACGACCCTCTTTCAATTTCCGGTATAATATATGGTCTCGGGCCAAATAAAATACGTTGCATGGTCTCTAGACATATCAATGAAACAATTGGCTAAATGACGCGTTTATTTTCACACGATGATGTAACTCAGTATACATAAATTTCATCCTACGCACCCGATAAATAAAGTAAATACCTTTTTTTTAATATTATTTTTTACCGAACTTTATATACCGACTCAGTCTTCAACAAACTTCTACGGCCTACCAAATATTTAACCCGTTTTTCTATGTCTCTCATTAAAATATATTCACTCTATAATCGCAATCCTCATGCACAACCTTCGCTGACGCCGTCAACTTGTCCACCGTCACGTCGCACGACAGCTTAACGGTGATCTTCCACGTCTTGACGGCGCCGACCTTGAACTTCACCGGCGCCTTCACCTTCAACCTCAACGGCACGCTTCCCTGGCTCTGCCCCGCCGTCAAATCCCGGCGCGAATCGCTCGTCAAGACGACGTCGCTCCCCGCTAGCGTCACGTTAAGCATCGTGTAGCTGTTCGGCGACTGGTACATCGCCGGCACGGTGCCGCCGGCCAACCTAACGTCATTGTAGTACATGTTGACGGAGCTTCCGCCCACGTAATAAACCCCGATCTTGTTGTTAGGGTTCACTGCCCGGATGGTGAGACCGATCTCCGGGGACATCGCGGAGGTTGCGTTCAGGTCGATGCCGCTGATCGCCACGCCCTCGATGGCGTATTTCGGTGGCTCTGGCCTCAGGATGAGGTAGAAGAGGCCGGCGGCGGCGCCGACGAGGAGGACGAGGGCCACGATGGCGAGGAAGATGCAGCAGCAGGGGCTCCCGCGGCGCTTGCCCCGGCGGGTGTAGCGCTCGAAGAGCTTGGCGTTCTCCGGCGGCGGGACGCGGTAGATTTGGTCCTTGGGGAGCTGGACGACGAAGGTGAGCGGAGGCGGGACGGGCTTATCTTGTGACGGGAGCGTCGGCTTCGTTGGCGATCGCAGCTGCCGTGGAGGCTTCTCAGTCGTCGGGGACGACGGCAGTTCAGGCGGGGAGTCACGAGGGTGGACTCGGTCAGCCATTGAGTCGGACCTTCGCCGGAGTGACTCGGCGCGCGTGAAAATTAACTGAAATTAAAAAAAAGAAAAAAAAACGAACAAAAGAACCGAAATCCATTACGAATGAAATTGAATTGTTTTCACGTATAAGAGAGGAGTTCTTGTTTTCGTATTACGTGTGAAGTTGCGTGGAATATAAAATCGAATTACAAGATCGATTTATCAAAAGCCACTATGCAGCAAAAATGTATTATTTCTTCGAATAAAAGTTTCGAAACATGAAATTAGTTCATCTGTATAAAGCTAACGAGCAACTAAATATATACTCATAGGAACTTTATTCTACTTTTTAGTGGTGGGTGGGGCAAGCATAGCCAATGTCCGAAAGATTTCCGTCGTCGAGTGTTTAAATATGATCCACTTGTTTGAGATGCTCGACCGCAGATTACCGCGATACTTGCCGAGTGAGTTGGTAAACTTAGCTTGAATAGCTGTCGTGTGATCAAGAACTTTTAGCATCCGAGGGAAACAACATGATTTGCTTATTGCTTTTACCCAGATGAGCTGAGATGCTGATGATCTTTCTTTCTGTGTGTTTTTTCTTGGGATCATGCTTTGTGGGTGAAACTTTGGATGATGAAGCACGCGACACAGGAGCCAATACATATACTTGTATGCATGCACGGTCATGCTTTGGCTTATGAATAAGGAAAGATTCAAGAAGAAGCAGAGATGAAGCACACAGTTGATATGTAAAGAAGAAGAAGAAGAAGGAGATGATGATGATGATACTGATGTGCTCCGAATCATATCGCAATACACGGATTCAAGACGTCACCTGATTCACACCCTCGGATATGCCACCGCCTTCTTTTCGCGGCGAACCTAGAACTCGATCTGCTGATCTCCGTTTGCTCTGCTCGTGTTCACTGCTTCTTTTCTTCGAGCATGGAGAGAGAGAGAGAGAGAGAGAGAGAGAGAGAGAGAGAGAGAGAGAGAGAGAGAGAGATTATAGCTGCATGCGAGAGCCGAGATAAGACTAGGTAATGGGAATGTGAATGGAGAACAGATCACTGTCTAGTGTCAATTAACAAGTTTTTTTTTTCTTCAGCCCATTAAAACAAGTGGTTGTTTCTCAAGAACCAGTCAACAAGAAAACCTCTCCCCTCCCCCTCCCCCCCCCCCCCCCCTTCGTTCCCATTTCTTGATGCCGTCACTCTTCATTTTTTCTCTTCGTTCTCGTTTCGCGGGTTTATCTTAAACCGTGTTTTCTCAACCACAACCAGGCGAAATCTTGGTCCGATTGACAGAACGACCCCTGCCTACTGGCTACATCGAATGCCATCGTCGTCTCTGACATTGGACAATTTGGTCATTTAGACAGAGATCAGTGTTGTTCAAGCCATCAACCTCCCTTTCTCTCCCTCTCTCTCTCTCTCTCTCTCTCTCTTTCTCTACTGGCCAAGTTGGAATTTTCTTGGGGGGAGAGATGGTCTTCATTTTCCCACTGTCACCGTCATCACGAAAACGTGGGGCAAAATGTCTCACGCCGTTAGGTTAAAGAGCCCGTCAGGCCGGTCAACATGTGAAGCTTCTTCGAGCTTCTTATTCCCCGCTATTACAATATCCTCCACAAGAAGAAAAAACACTAGCATCGTACCAATATGAAATCGGTGCCTTCATCTACAAGCTCTTGCTTAACCAGGGTTTTGATGTTTCTTCTTCTTTGGACATGACAATCAACTTGTACTTGATCATGCATGCATTGTTGGGAAAATGACACAAGTAGTCCCTGAACTTTAGTCCAACGTGTAATTTGATCCCCGAACTTTTAATATGTTCAATATAGTCCATGAACTTTAGCCTAATGTTCAATTTGGTTCATTAACTTTTAATTTGTTCAATATGATCCCTGAACTTTTAGTACATGTTCAATTTAGTCCTAAACCTTTTGCATTGGTGCCAATTTAGTCCTAAACCTTTTTTTGGTGCCAATTCAGTCTTAAACATTTTGTTTTTGTGCCAATTTAGTCATTTTGACCAATTTTGGTCGAATTTTGCTAAAGTTGACAACTTTAATAATATTTTACTATTTTTTTGAATTTTTTTCTTTTTTTCTTTTTTTTTCCCCCTCCCCTCCCTCCTTCCTCCAGCCGGTCGCCGGACTGGCGCCGGTGAGGCTCGCCCTCGTCAGCCACTAGTGAGGTCGACCTTGCCAGCCTCTAGCCTCGGCGACCGGCTCGAGGAAGGAGGGAGAGGAGGGGAAAAAGAAAAAGAAAATAATAAAAATTCAAAAAAATTAAAAATATTATTAAAGTTGTCCACGTCAGCGCCGGTGACCGGCCGCCGGCCGGCATCCACGTCAGCAAAATCCGGCCAAAATTGGCCGAAAGGATTGAATTGGTACAAAAACAAAAGGTTTAGGACTGAATTGACACGAATATAAAAAGTTTAGGAAGGAGGGAGAGGAGGGGAAAAAGAAAAAGAAAATAATAAAAATTAAAAAAATTAAAAATATTATTAAAGTTGTCCACGTCAGCGCCGATGACCGGCCGCCGGCCAGCATCCACGCCAGCAAAATCTGGCCAAAATTGGCCGAAAGGATTAAATTGGTACAAAAATAAAAGGTTTAGGACTAAATTGGCACCAATATAAAAAGTTTAGGACTGAATTGGCACCAATGCAAAAAGTTTAGGACTGAATTGGCACCAAAAAAAGGTTTAGGACTAAATTGGCACAAATGCAAAAGGTTGAAGACTTTTTGGCACTTTTCCCATTTAGTCCTTAAACTATTTGAAAATGTTCAATATAGTCCTTCCATTAATTCAAGTTCTGGGACTGCATTGAACATTTTCATATAGTTTAAGGACTAAATTGAACATGTATTAAAAGTCTAGGGATCACATTGAACAGATTAAAAGGCTAAAATTCAAGGACTATATCGAACAAATTAAAAGTTCAGGGATCAAATTGCACGTTGAGTCAAAATTCAGGGGCTGTTTGTGTCGTTATCCCTATATTGTTATACGTACAGGAACAGTTGTTGCTCATGGTTGCCGGTCAATATGTCTCGGGCGACGTCACGTGCTGTTGAAATTTTCTCAAAAAACAGCAAAAGAAAAAGAAGATGTTTATGGGGGTGGTTTTATGCCAACAAGATGATTGATTGTATTTTGTTTTGGGTGTTAAGGTTAATTTAAAACATCGGACGTCCTTGTCCGGCGCACCGCTTTTCAGGAAGAGACGAGGCAATCCAGATGGACACCTCCAAAAATCATATGCAGAAAAAACCAAACCGCTTGCGGTTTCAAAAGAAACAGTGCATTCACAGTCAACTACATGGACCAAGACAAAAACTCCGGTCTGCAAAATTTTTGTGGGTGGCCGGAGCGAGATGGCACACTGACTTGATCAAATATGGTGGGACATTTCCTGCAGCAAAAAGAAAAGAGAAAGGAGGAACGGCAGAGAAAGATTCACAGTAGATCGTAGGTCCAATTTTGTTCGTCTCGCATTTCGACGAAATGCGAGTTACACATGGCCCAGTGGAAAGCAGCGCAAAAGTAATGGCTTGGCCTGTTCGGGTGCGAATCCGATGTTTCTGCCAACAATTGGTTCAGAGGCAAAAAGCCGCCGGTCACAAATACGGTGATAATAACACTAGGAGTGCCATAATTTTCGTACGGCGCTCGGTCCCTTAAGTGTTATAACTTTTTTTTTGCTCATTTGAGTGCCACATCGGAGTAAAATGGATCATTTGAGTGTCATTTCCGATAAATCATCACACGCAGATTTTTTAATTAATTTTTCATCCGACGTGGATTTTTTTAATGTTATTTTATTTTATTTTATTGAATTTTTTTCTTTATCTTTTTAATTTTTCTTTATCTTTCTTATTTTTCCTTTTGTTTTTCAAGGTTGGCGAGGGTCATCGGTGACCCTCGCCGGAGGCCTCACCCTCGGCCAAACTGGGCGAGGGCCGCCTCGCCATCGGCCGGTATGGCCGCGAAGGTCCTTGGCGAGGCCATCGCGACCTCGCTGGCCGCAAGCGAGGCGGTGAAAGCTCTCGCCAAATCTGGCGAGGCTGCCTCGCCCAGGGCCACGAAAGCCCTAGGCGAGGCAATCGTGGCCTCGCCGACCGCGGGTGAGGTGGCAAAGGCTCTTACCAAATCTGGCGAAGCTGTCTCACTCGCAGCCGCGAAAGTCCTTGACGAGGCCATTCCGTCCTCGCCGGTCACGGGTGAGGTGGCGAAGGCTCTCGCCAGATCTGGTGAGGCCGCCTTGCCCGCAGCCACCCAGATCTGGCGACGGGCCTTCACGGCCAAGGGCAAGGCGGCCCTCGCCCAGGGCCTTCGCGGCCAAGGGCAAGGCGGCCCTCGCCCAATCTGGGCGAGGCCTTCACAACCAGCGAGGGTCGCTGGTGACCCTCATCGGCATTGAAAAAAAAGTTTGCAAAAAAAAGTATATAAATAAATAAATTCAAAAAAATTATCCACGTCAGCTCCGGCGAAGCCACGTAAGACGACTAGCATCCACGTCGGATTTTTCGGCAAGGCAAATCGCCGATAGCACTCAAGTGATCAATTTTTCAAATTTGTGATACTCAAGTGAGCGAAAAAAAAAATTATGACACTCAAGTGAGCGCCGTACGAAGTTATGGCACTATTAGTGTCGTTATCCCCACAAATATGAAAAGAATGGCGATCATTCCCCTTTACATCTCGACGCAGCTTTATTGATGATTTCTCCGAAGAATACCAAAAGAAAAAATCTCAGCGCGGAACTAAAAATGCTAGCCCTATTCAAGTGAAGAATTGAATACAAGGATCAAAATATGAATTTATGCAGAAGAACCAAAATTAGACGAGACTGAGGGTTAGTACAGGATATATAAATGACTGAACTTATCGATTAGCTTCGCGAGCCCATCATGGCCGTAGAGAAGAAAGATCTTCGAAAACTGTCTTAATGTCTGGCCTGTCGGATGCTGGAAGGATGCATCTCAGAGCCACCTGCAACATGTCATAGAGATATATAGGCAAGTCCTCCTCCA